CTCCCCCTCCCAGCCACTGCCCCTTCCCCTCCAAGCTGCTGCCCGCTATGCTCCCAGCCACAGTGGTTGGGCTTGCCCTCCCAATCCCAGTCACTGGGGCTAAGCTTGCCCTCCCGCACCCATCCCCTGGGGCTGGGCTTGCCCTTCCTCTCCCAGCCGCTGCCCCTCCCACTCCAAGCTGCTGGGGCTGGGCTTTCCCTCCTGCTCCCAGCCGCAGCGCTGCCCCTTCCCCTCCAAGCCGCTGCCCCTTATGCTCCCAGCCACCAATTTGCATATTACCCTTTAATTATATAGGATAGAAGCCTGGTGTATGGGTGGGGGCTGGCTGGCTTGCCCTTAAGGGTATCCAGGATCAGGGTGGGGGTCCCTCTGGGGTGCCTGGCCAGTCTGGGTGGGGGTCCTCGCTGGGGTTCCTGGCCAGCCTGGGTAGTGGGCAGAGAGTTGTTTGCAGGCTGGCTGTGCCCCCCCAGCGGGAACCCTCATCCCATGAGGGTGTGGCCATCTTGGGTGAGGGGCTGATAGCTGTTTGCAGGCTGGCCATGGTCCCCAGCCACCCCAGCTCCCAGTGGAGACTGGCTGGGAGCAGGGATCTGCGGTTTATTTATCTTCTACAATTGAAACTTTATTGCCTTGAGCGGAGGCCACAGCGGCCGGGCGGCGGCAGGCAGGGAACCTTGGCTTCCTCCATCGCCGGGGCAACCAAGCCTCCTGTTCGCTTCGGCTGCCTGGCTGCCGGCCGCCATCTTGGTTGGCATTTAATTTGCATATTGCCCTGATTAGTCAATGGGAAGCATGTCAGAGGTACGGTTAATTACCATGTTTGTCTATTATTAGATAGGATGTATATATTTTGGTTCATCTATATACCACCACACATTATTGTCCCACTCCACTGGCATTTTTTTTTTGTTTTGTTAATCATTACCCAGGGGAGGGGAGAGAGAGAGAGAGAAAGAAAGAGAAAGAGAGAAAATTGCTCCTTATAATGCTAAACTGAGAGTGAGCAATGTGAAGCTTGGTAGTCTAGAAAATGAAGAATTTATCCCTTTTGTGGACCTAGCAAATCACCATATATGTCTTACCAACAGCTGTTCATTATTTATCATTTTCCTTTGTTCCTCAAAGCTATGGCAGACTGTCCTTCTAGCATACAGCTGCTTTGTGACCATGGTGCCTCAGTGAATGCCAAAGATGTAGTAAGTCAATTTATGTTTATTCTCATTTCAACTCATGTGTTCTAGCTTTTATGTTTTGGGTGATTTGTTGTCTTAATACTTTTTGTTTTTCTTGTTGTTTAGGATGGGCGGACACCACTTGTTCTAGCTACTCAGATGTGTAGGCCAGCAATCTGTCAACTGCTAATAGATAGAGGAGCAGATATTAATTCCAAAGACAAACAAAACAGGTATTTTTTTTTTTAATCACAGCTCCCCACATACCAGCTGCATGCACAGTGATTCTGAAATTCTGCTGCTGTGATAGCCTTTCCATCCCTTTTGGTTCAGCCCTTCCTTGGAATTAGCACCACTTATTTTTCTTCGAAGTCTGCGGAGAAGGATGGAGAGGCACATAGGGGAAGATGACGGGTAAATGCAAAATATAAGCAATGATTAGGGCTTGTCTTCCAGTCAAAGAATTAACAAATGAGGATCCCAGTTATTTTAAGCTTTATGAAAATGTTTCATAAAATGGGCTTAAATAAGATATAAGGGAGAAGAATAAAAAAACAGATCTACAGTCTACTTTGTTAGTGAGTCCTTTGGTTCCTGGAGCTTGACATGTTTCAGTACTGATTTTCTCAAGGTGTTTTTCTCCTTATCCTGCTCAGGCACAATGCCACCTCCTTCTGTGACACTGAGTTCATTCTCTATCCCACGATTCCCTTAGTTTATTTTTGCTTCTGTATTTGATGCTATTTTATTTGGTGTGCACTTACAATTTCTACCTGTGATTCTCGTTTTCCCCTTTTCCAGGTCTGATATTTCATAGTGCTTACTATATTATAATTCTAGGGTTTATGGTCGTAAAGTTTTGGACAACAAGGTATCTGAAAAACTTGTTGAATAATTTATAATGAGTTTCTGGGATTTTACAGATGATTGAGTGAAGTTGTTCGTTTCTTTTGACTTAATTTTATTTTTCTAAACATGTATCCTATTGTTTGTAGTTCATTGGAAGTGGAGCAGTATAAAGGCTTTAGATGTCAGGTTTTTTAGCACTAACTGTTTTTATTGTTCAGGCATCTCAAAGGAAGAAATTCTTAAGCAGTTAAATCATTGACATGATTATTAAGAAAGTGGCTTTTTGTATTTTTTTCTGCAAATATTATAATCTGGTTCCAAGTAGGTCTTAAAAATAAGTTTTAGTATCAGAGGGATGATCTAGCTGATCCATATATAAGGCTTTATTTTTATTTTTTATTGCTTTTATATTTTTCCAAGCATGTTTGTCTCTGTTTTTTTTTTTTTTTTTTTTTTAATTGGAATTTCTCTTCCTTTCCCGCCCCCTCCAAAAAAAATCAATGAGGTAGGGCAGTGTGTATTATATAGAGTAAATAGTAGATGGTTTTAAAAATAAATTAAAATCTTCAGTTCTGACACTGTGTTCAAGTTTCATTTTATTCACTGCCCTATCTATATATAGCATTTCCCCCAATAACAAAAGCTTTGTTAATGCCTGTTTTATATAAAATTGTATACCAGTAACTATTAGAGTATAAAAGAGAAATAGAACATAACTAGTAGAGTAAAGCAAGAATCAGTTTCCTTATGAAATCCAATATTCACAATTGAAGACAGTTAGATATAAGATAACTCACTTCATTTCATTAGGCGTTGGTTTTCTCAGCAATAAAAATAGAGAATTGGGCACAATAATTGCTAGGGTCCTTCTAAATTTGCATGATGATTTAATTATTTTGTTACATTATTACTATTTGCTGATACACTGTTAAGCGTTTAGTGCTGATGATTCTGTGATGGCAGAATAAACCAGAAGTCCATGTTAATGGGGTTAATCGAGGAAGGTTTATTCGAGGAGGGGATTGTCAAGGGTGGGGGGAAAAAAGGAGACATATGTAATACTCTTTGTAATACTTTAAGTAATAAAAAAAATAAAATTAAAAAAAATAAAAATAAAAAATTAGGTGTGAAGATGTGAAGGTCTCCAGGTAGCAGAAGCAAGGCTCTTCTAAAAAAAATAAATGAGGAACAGGAATTTGGTTCTTATTTTGTTTGGTGTAGAAGGGATTCATTAGGGAGGTTTGCATGTTGTGGTTCAGTTCGTGAGGGTCTTGGATAGTTTTGGTTTATTGTAGTTTTGAGCTGGTGGTTATCTGTGGTAATTGACTTGTAGGACATAGTAGGACAGGAAGAAAGGGAGTTAGTTTGGGAGTAGAAGTAGGAAACAAATGTCTATAAAGTGATACATACTTTAGCTCTGCAAACTAAAACACAAAGCACATGTTTTTATAAATGCAGTGCCATAAAAATATAAGATTAAAACATAGAGTGAAATTTGAATCTGCAATAAGGATGACTTTTTAAAGTAGTACTTGTTCTTTAGAAATGGGAGCTCTGGAAGAAGATTTCTAAATATTTTCTTAGATCTGTCTCAAGGTTTTTTTATTCTCCATCTTCTCTTTTAGAACTGCTCTCATGCTAGGTTGTGAATATGGTTGCAAAGACGCTGTAGAAGTCTTAATTAAAAATGGTGCTGATGTAAGCTTGCTGGATGCCCTTGGCCATGATAGTTCTTACTATGCAAGAATTGGTGACAATCTTGACATTCTAACCTTATTGAAGACTGCATCAGAAAATACCAACAAAGGTACCAGAAGTTTTCTCTAACTAGAAAAGTCCAGAATAATAAGGAGCAGCTTTTAAAGATTTAGGAGGTAGAACTTTAGTTTATAAGAAGCAAAATATTCGTTACTGAGGCAATATGTGTTGCAAATATTGTTTAGTTTATCACTAAAGCTTACTATACTGTGGAATAATTTATGAACTGAGTATAAAGGTCAAATCAAGTGTTTTAGTTATATATATATTTGGGGGGGATGAAACTCTTAACTTTTATACTTACAATTTTAAAGAATCATTGTTCAAACCTGTATATAAAATATTCACCCAATATTTATTGAATACTTGTACCAAGTATTTTTCTGTGCTTATTAAAGAGAAATTGGAAAACATAGAAAAGTACAACAAATAAAATTAGTCTTTCATGCCTACTAATTGGAACCTCTTTTGACATTTTGAGGCCTATCCTTGCACTCTTCTCCCTCTGCATGAAATCGACGTCACCTGGAATGAACTGTAGATTACTAAGTGTAATATATTTTATAGGCTTTTCCCTCATAAATATTTTTTCTATGATATGATTTTTATTGATGCATAAAATTTTATCTAAGTTTAATTTAATTATGAAATTTTCTATAGGTATCATTAAAGTTTTTAATTTTTACTAATATAAATAACAATTTAGTGACTGTCCTTATGCATAATTATTTCAGCATATTTTTATTATAACCTTAGAATCAATTCCCATAAATTGAATCATGGCGTTTCAGGGTATCCACGTTTGTTCAAGCTTTTATTGTATATTGACAAATTGCTTTTCAATTAAGAGGTATTTTTAATACTGCATTTTTCATCTCTTCCCTCCCTAGCATTGAATATTATCTACCTGGATATTGTCATAGCAAAAAATCCCACAAATTTTGCGAATTTGAGATGCAAAAATGCTATTTCACTATTATTTGAACTATAAAGTATTAAGCATTAGAGGATACTTAAAATTTAATTTTTTCATATGAACTCAGTTGTACAGTTAGGGAATTCATATCCATTTGAGTTAACCTGCTGTTTCACTGTTTCTGTTCCTCATCTCTTTAAATCTTCAGGGAGAGAACTTTGGAAGAAAGGACCATCAATACTACAGGTAGATCTTAAGATTATACAAAATCTTATACATAAGATTTTGAGTTTTAATAGGTTCTTCTCTCTCTGCTCAGTTAATCATGCCCATGTAAAACTTACGTATTAAGATCTGGAGGTTTTATCTAAATACTATCGCTCAGCTTGAGACTATGGGTTTTAATTACAATGAATATATCCAATGGGAAATAAGTAGCCTCCTGATTGCTGACCTTCAACATCCAGCCCTTTGAAGTATGAGATACTGCACTTGGTTGAGATTCTTAAATGATGTATTTTAGCCTGGCAGGTCATAGCAGCTTTTTCTGTTCTCCCTTAATAACGGATCATTTATTTACTGTTTTGGCAAAATTCTTCCAATGTAATAAGAAATAAAGAAAATAGAGCTCAAAATTGATTATATATTATGATTTCAATACTACTGTTAACATTTTGATTCCCTTCTCCTCTGTATGTATTTAATTTAATGAGGACTTTTCTTAAAAACAAAACACAATACATGAAATAATTCATACCTCTTACTAATTTTATTACCAAGTCACTAACACTGGTTTTGTGACCTAGTTTCAGTAAATATCATCATTTTGCCCTAATCTCTTCGAGTTACAGCGGGGTTGGTTTGCGGCACTCTCTTCATCTTGCTCAAAAGCTAGTGTAGGCAGCTTTCCTCTTCTGCTGGCTGTTTCCTTCCAGGCTTTCAGCTTTTCTCTAGTGAGAGGAACCTGAGCACTTCCAAACCCTGAAGAGAAAGTAATCAGGTACCTTCTGAGCAATTCTGATCATCATTCTGCATCATTTCTCTACCTCTCACCTGAATCTGAAAGCTATATTAAAGCATGTTTCCCATTTTAATCCATCAGAATTAAGTAATACATTCATGCATGGGTCATGTCTGCTGTCACTTTTCTTTTCCATCTGGAGCAACTGTGTCAACCTTCTCTCAGATAACCTAAGTGGGGGGTAGAGTAAAATAAAGTGTGCACTGTTGTGTTTGTACCAGCCATCTTACTTAGAATCTGAGAAAAATGATTTCTGAAATATATAGATATTTAAAGAACTATTGAATGTTAATACATGAATGATACTCCTTTTAGTGTTAATCTAAAAGAATGCATGGAGTTAATAGTCTGCTAGGAACTGAAAAACTCATTTATTTCTATTTTTATTGAATACATTAAAAATATATTCTGTAAATAGGATATTTTCCAGTACTAAAGGGCGTATAATCCCTGTTACTGAGAAGACTACAGGATAGTTTAAAAAAAATAAAACTTAATTTCAGTTTGCTTAACAGATATTTGTAGAGCACCTGTTATATGCCAATTACTCTTCTAAGTGATGGGGAGATCATAGTGTTAAGTTTCTGACTCATGGAACTAACTCCTAGCCTGGTAAGAGAGATGACTGATAGGTAGACAAGTATTTAGGATCATAGCAGATGCTTTGAAGAACAATGGAACAGGGTTAGGAGATGAAGAGGGAGAGGCAGGGAACTGTTTTAGATTGTGTGGTCAACAAAGGCCTCTTCCAGGAAGTGACATTTGAGCAGAGATCTGAAGGAAGTGAAGAGGGAGCCACAGGGCTCTGTGGAAGATGCCTCACTGAGAGAGGCAATGGCAAATGCACACCCCTGATGAAGGCGCATGTTTAGCAAGGCCAGAGTGACAGGAGTGATACGCACTTCATGGAGCAGGAGAAGTGACAGGGCAGGTTATGAAAGGACCCTCTGAAGGGAAGGTAGGGATGAAAGTGGTATGAGACTGGCCAGATTCCCCATGAAGAACAGTCCTTTGGTAGAAGGACAGAGGCTAGAAATGTATTTTGAGCCAAATTGTAATTACAGAATATTTTTTTAATGGGAACTTGTCCCTGTAAATCTAAATCCAGACTTGTTAGAATGATAGTTTAAACACTTGGTTAAACAAAACTCAATAAATAATATAAAACATAATAAAATTATCTTACAGAATGAAAGCACTCGCTTTTTTTTTCTTAGCTCTCAAATAGAAGGAAGACATGGTTGTCTAAATTATTGTGTCAATTTAAAAGTCAATTTGGGTGAAAAAAAAGGCGGTTCTCTTGTTTAATAATTATGTTTTTATTAAAGCAGATCTCTAAGCTGGAATAAGGTTTGAAAGCAGTAAGTGTACAAAACAACACACACCCAACCAAGTCACTAGAGGTCTTTTATATAGCGCTGTTCACAGTATTGTCTGTTTTTTACTTACTACACCATTGGTATTTTATTTCATACTCAGGTAGTGTTAAAATGTCCAAAGAAAGAAATAATTTCCATATTTTCTTTCAACATTATGTGTCTCCTCCACCACCTCCTTGTTTTAAAGTCTAAATTCTTCCTTTGGGAATGGCTAAATGATGCTTTATGGCACAACTCTAGCTTTATGTCTAGTACAGAGTCTCTCACATTTTGGTGACTTTGGTTAAAACAACTCTTTAACAATAAGGATTTTAAATTGTGTATTTTATAGTATTTTAAAATTGATTTATTTAAAGCCAGTATCCTTAAAGATGCTTTCCACTTGGAGTTTTAAATGGAAACACTGCTGCCTTGCATTATGTACACCAAAATTTAATGTTAGATAAACTGAAAATCACTAATTGGCTTTATTGCCTATTGAGGAAAATGCATATTTCTGTATTCTCATACTTGCTAACCTATGTTCTCTTTTGTTTTACCAAAGCGAAATATGACACACATGCTAGATGAAGTAAATATGAAGTCAAATCAGAGGGAGCACCAAAGCATTCAGGTAAAAAAGGGGGAAAATATTGGTAGCTTCTTTTTCAAAGAATTTCAATTTTTTTTTTTGTAGTGGTGTGGGTGGGGAAAGGGAACAAAAATGGGGGGGAATGAATGGGGAAGAAGCAAAGATAGCTTGGTAGGTTTTGTGATTCTATTTTCTTATCCAGTTTCTTCTGAAAGAATTGACTTTTGATATGAAAGTTTGGGTCAGTATTATCTTACAGAAAGTATTGCTTTAATATAGAATAGGAAGCAAATAATTTAACTTCACATAATTTTTTGTTCATTTAACTATATCTTTTTGGGGCCTAAATCATAAATTGCTATTTATTTTAGGTAATTAATTATAGTGATAAAATGATAGTTGTTAATATAACTAAAAATTTGAACTTCTTCTGAAAGTATTTTTATGCTGATTAAGAAAAATAATTTTGTTAATGACAGAGCACTTTTTACCTTTTACGTTTGTCATTGTTCAAAAAATAATAATTATGTGGCTTATGTTGGAAGAAAATCCTATAATTGAATGGTTTGTCTTATGACTGAAATACCATTAGAATATAATGGTATTTGAATGGCTATTTTCCATATGCTAAAACAAAAGTATTTTATTGGGATTTTATTATTTACTATGTAGTGTTAAGAAAGTGGAACCATAACAAAAGCATTAAGAATAGTCTTGTAAATGTGAAGGGTGTTAAACAAAAGTGAAAATGGCATATTCTTCTGCTATATCCTTTTTCCAGATGATGCTTTTACTTTTTATTAGAATCATAATGGTTTGCTGTCTTGTATATACTTGTATTTATTGGATATCATAAGACTGTAATTTTCTGTGTTATTATTTTTGATCTATGCATTTAAATCATTTGAATGCTATTGAAATTATTGAATTCTGTAGTTAAAGCTTTTATATATGTATATAGAGTAAAAGAGAAAAATTCTTTCATAAGAATTGCTCTTTTAAGGTTGGTCTAGCACAGCGGTTCTCAACCTGTGGGTCGCGACCCCTTCGGGGGTCGAATGACCTTTCACAGGGGTCGCCTAAGACCATCGGAAAACACATATATAATTACATATTGTTTTTGTGATTAATCAATATGCTTTAATTATGTTCAATTAGTAACAATGAAATTGGGGGTCACCACAACATGAGGGACTGTATTAAAGGGTCGCGGCATAAGGAAGGTTGAGAACTACTGGTCTAGCACTCACTTATTATCTTTACTATTTAAGGATCTCCAGATTGAAAATGGAGATTTGAAAGAAAGGTTGAGAAAAATTCAGCAAGAACAGAGAATATTATTGGATAAAGTCAATGGTTTACAGCTACAGCTAAATGAGGTAAATAATCTGCATAATAAAAAAATCCAAAACTATTTTGCTACAAGTAATCACCATCGGTAGTAAATTGTTAATAATTGCCTGTCACATCAAGTCAGGGTGCTAGGTGCTAAGGGAACTAAAATCAGGCCATTGCCTTGAGGAAAGTTCTATCTCACTGGGACCTTTACATGAAACTTTCATGTCTGATATAAGAACAGAGAATACTGTTGGTAGGTAGTAGTGACAAACAACTTTAAGTTGGGGCTGTTGGATTGGAGAGGAAGGAGTAGACAGAAAATGTGAGAAGGAAGAGCAAGTAGGTGTTGATAATTGATGGTGCCCAGAAGAATCAGAGATGCTCCCGAGCCTGCAGAGTGAGAAGAGTGACTGACATCTCAGAGAGCAGACAGTAAGAATGGGCATCCTTGTTCCACTCTTAAAGATAGGCGCCAGTTCTTTTAAAAGATATTTGCCAAGCTCAAGTTTTTTCAAAGAAACTGTCAAAAATGAAAATACATTTCTTCTTTTTTTAATTTAGGAAGTAATGGTTGCTGATGATCTGGAAAGTGAGGTAGGAGGATAAATTCTACTTTAAAACTGTGCAATGTTATATAAATTGAAGATGATACTTCAGTATAGGTTTAAGTCGTGAATTGAGGTGGAGACCAGGATTCTATTTCTGTTTATTGCTCAAAGAGAAAAACAAAACCTACATGTGACCATAAAAGCATATTTTAAATATATGGCATGGATTATCATTGACATTTTATTGTTAATGCCTCTGAATATATCATTTTCTGTGAAGCTTTCATGAAAAGATGTAAAATTCTAAACATTTTAAAGGAAATAAGATTTAAGACAAAAAGAAATTTGAAATTTTCATAATATTGTTTGTATATATTATATATTTTATTAGTATACTAGAGGCCCGGTGCATGAAATTTGTGCACGGGAGCGGGGAGTTCCTCAGCCTGGCCTGCCCCCTCTCTAGTCCGGGACCCCTCAGGGCTGCTGGCACCTAACTGCTCACCTGCCTGCTGGCCTGATCCCCCTAAGTGTTCTCCCCTGCTGGCCTGATCCCTCTAACTGCTCTCCCCTGATGGTCTGATACCCTTAAGTGCTCTCCCCTGCCGTCCTGATCTTCCTAACTGCTCTCCCCTGCCTGCCTGATCATCTTTAACTGTCTCTGCCTCAGCCCTGCCACTATGGCTTTGTCCGGACGGACATCCGGAAGGTCGTCTGG